ACCTTTGTATATTAGTGTCCACCAGTACGAGGCCTTTTGGGGAGGACACTCAAGAGTAAAATCGTGCGGGCTTGGCCCAAAGCGAACAATATCGTACTAATGAGCGACCCACCCATTATCAAATCTAACCCAATAGCCAATCCATTCCAGCTCTCCTCGATCCCAAGTCCCTTCCGCTAGCGACCAAACCATCGCCAACATGTTAGTCCTCCTTGTCGAGAACCAGTTGACCCATCATCTATTGACTATTGCTCTTGTCTCAATCCAAGACGATTGCCAACTGAATTATAGCTTTGTTCGCAGTCGATCGGTTGGGAGTTTAAGCTTTATTTAGTTCGATTTGAACCAATTCGGTTCAGTTTGCAATGGAACTAACCGACCGAGCACCATCCCTACTTGTTATGCTCTCACTTAGGGGTGGCTATACGGTCCGGTCCGGTTAAATTGGCCCAAATTGATCCGGTCCATTCCAGTTTTTTTGAAAATATAAGGACCGAAGATTGGATTGGATACAGTCCGGTCTTGACCCGGTCCGGTCCCAATTCGGTCTTGATTTTATATTGAGATTGTGGGAATTTGAGTGGCCTAAGGCCTAAAAGGGTGAGGAGTTGGTTAAGTTTTGTACTAAGTGCAAAGGTTTGTGACCGTTTATGCAAATTACCCTTAAGTTTTGGGTGTTGAGCTCTCTTATCCGGTCTTTATCCGGTTTTTTACCTCAAATCTAAGCCCAAAAATTGGATTGGATTGTTTACTATCCGATCCCGGTCCGGTCTCAATCCGAGTTATACGGTCCGGTTTCCGGTTTTTCATCCGGTCCCAATCCAAATAGCCAGCCCTACTCTCACTCTTCTTTTATGGGTTATGCTCATGCTCAGTTTCTTGTGTGGCGACAAGGGGAATCAAAATATACAGTTAGGTCGGGACCCTTTCCACTTTTCAGCGATGAATTCTAAGACGAGGGAGCAATTTCTTTAGGCTGATTCCAGTCTTCTAAGTGGACTCACTAGTCACAAGTCACTAGAAAAATATCCCTTCATGCAAAATTTAATATTTGCATAAACCAAGTAAAGAGAAGCATAATGTACCATTATTTAATATGCATAAAATCAACTAAAGGGGAACAACAGTATCGCCCACCCTAAAATTATATAATTTGCAAACACCCTGAATTAATTCCCTTATATAACTTTGTCGTTGCATGGTTGAATCCAATTAAAAAAAAAAAAATAGTCTATAAAGAAGCTTGCAATAGTACCCAATTTAATCATGTTGATTATGTCCTACAAAATGTTTATATCAACAAGCCTGCAACGTTCTGCATTTGCCCCTCCTTTCCTTCACTGTAGATGCAAATCTGCACCAAACTAAATTATACCTTCCGATTAAATACTCTCATTTTGAAGATGAATATACATAGCTATTTTTTCGGGCCGACCAGATTGGTCTGTCAACCTTCCCTGATATACGAGTGTTAGTGAGTGATATAAGTTTCATTATTGAATCTCTTCCAACAACTCGAGTTATCAGGATCAATTGATTTTTGACATGGTATAAGAGTCTGGTGTGACCAAAAGGTCTTGTGCTCGAATCCAAGTTACCTCCATTTGTGAAGCACATGGTCTTCTTGTATTCAGGCATGTGCACTCGAAAACCCTTATGAGTTTACTGGCTTTCGTTTGAGGGGGGTGTGTTAGTGAGTAATATAAGTTCCATTATTGAACTTCTCCCAACAACTCGAGTTATTGGGATCAACTGGTTCTTAGCAGCGAGCTTCACAATAAAGTCAATGTATAAAGTCTGGTATCAGAGAAGTATACTAGATTGCAACATTCCCATTCTATAGGTACGACATCGAGTGATTTAGTTGAAGATCTGGTGGTGGAGGTGGTAAAGGCGCATGACTGCGTCCAGGAGGTCCTGGGTTCAACCCTTGGCAGCCACCACTTCTGCGTTACCCCCTTGGTGGCCACCAAAAGGGCTGTAAGCTCCTACTAAATGCTCCCAGGGTCGCAGACGGATTTCTACTCTTATAAAAAATGGAGGCTTTGTTCTAAAATTGAAATAAAATTATTTAGTAACTGCTCAATTGCTCCCAGGGTCGCAGACGGATTTCTACTCTTATAAAAAATGGAGGCTTTGTTCTAAAATTGAAATAAAATTATTTAGTAACTGCTCAATTTCGTGCCGAGAATCATTTTTCAATCATAATCATTGTTAAGCCATTAAGGATTTATTGTGTCTTTATAACACATATAGGGCTTTCAAAACACAAATAAGACTTTAATAATCGATGATTATACATGCATCGTTTATATATACATGAGAATATTGATCAATGACTAATCAATAAAGTAAACTCATCATCATAACCATATATAATCATTCAATAATGCATGAAAAGTTCATTGTATAATATATGATTGGATCAACTAACAGACCTACAGTGGAAGCCCCCTATTATTCGGAGGTCCTGTGTCGCAGTGCTTCCCGACACACCCATTGCAGCCGGCCCTGAGATCTGCATTTTCATGTGGTTTGTGTATGTGAAAAAATTCTCAAACATGACACATTAAAAAGGAGAGGATGCATGGATGATCCCAAGTAGGTGCAAGCTATGCTTGGCTGCTGAAGAGGAGATGTATCACATTCTCCTTAGTTGAAGATTCACAAAAAAGCTATGGAAAACCATGGGAATTTCCATAATGATACAAGGAGGTTATGAAAGGAGAGAAACTCAAGGATCTTTGATGAGAAAGTGTCATCGATCGCCACATGTTGTGTGCTAAAAAATGTTTGCCAAATTACTAGATGTTTTGTGAGCGCCAAGAAAAGTCGACCGTGAGTTTAAACAAGTGTAGTTGATGGGAAGTGAATATATATTTTTTACTAATAGAAAGAAAGTTGATTAGGCGGTGAGAAGTTTGTTGAATAGTAACATAGTGAGTAAAAGGTGATAAATGTCTAGGGTGTAACTTTAAGAATAATTTTTCCCCATTAGATAAAGTTGTAAAGTGTGATTCTTTTTGTGGGATAAATTTTCAGATTCTTTTAACTTTTAATTTACAGAGTGAATAGTGATTTTTACTGAAAGATGAGAAAAAAGTGTATGTATTTGTTCTTATTAAAATTTAAATTTGAGAAAAAAAAGATGGAAATAAACATGATTTTCCGATATTTGATATTACCAAATGCTTGTATTATTTCATGAGATTGTGAACGAGATTGATGAATTTCAAGTATTATTTGATATTAGGATCCCTCACTCTCTACTACCATACCCTCAACCACCAAGTCGGTCACTTAGTTATACATAACTCATTCCCTCAATATTTCACAATCCATATCAACTTCATTTGTTACTGCACTATGTCCATGGGTTGCTTAGTCATCTCATTTTTTAGTTTGTTGCTTTAGTTTGTTAGTGGTTTTCTCAGCCACCACAATTTTCTAGTTTTTTATTATTATACTTAAGATATTTTCTCATTTGTTTTGCACGAGTGTTGACACCATTATTTTCTTTATTTTATATATAATTATATATTGAGAATGGTTTGTGGAGCTGCCGACAGAGGAGAAATATTTGCGTATGTATATTTGATTTGTGTTTTTAAAGGATTTAATTTGATATATACCGCTACCGAACAAAATATCAGGAATTTGGATACAAATTTATTTTGATATTGAAATTGAGTTTAAAACATTATTTGATATTTGAGATTTCAATATTTGATAGTAGAATACCAATTTCATACCGATTTCCGCCTCTAACCATATGAACCCGAGATATTTTGCAACAGAAAAACTTAGACAGAGATCCAGGTGCCATTGTATTACAGACGTGGGGGCCTGTTTTTATAGTAATAACTTTTGGAGGGGAGGGAACACAAAACATATAGCATGGGGAAAAAATCTGTAACAGGGAGAAAAAAAATCTTTCCCTTCTCCTCCATCATTGGCCATCCCTTCTATCATCTCCTAGCAAGCTTCCATTATGGGTTTTTCTTTTTTAGGGTGGCTTCCATTATTGTTAACCATAAATTCCTGTATGCAATTGCAAAGCATTCGGTCCTTAGACCCAAAACACATCGCTTGGTTCGACCCATTCGTTACATCATCCGCAACTCTAATAGTAACGGAGGTAGAAATTTGAAAAGGAGAGGGTTAAAAAAATGAAAGTTTGAGGAATTCGAACCTCGAAAGCTAGACACGGAGGGGCCAAGATAGTACCAATTGCGTTATATTTTCGAAGTTTGTTCCATGTTTTAGATGTATTTTTCAGCATAATTTGTTGCCTAAAAACTGCGCTATATGGGTGTAAAACAGTGTGAATAATTGTACAGTATTGACGGGTCCAACCGAAATAACCTTCTACCGAATTCTAAATCGAGACAATTCTTAGCGGTATGAAACTGTCGTTCCGCGATTAAACAGTCATTTCACTACGAAGTACCATATAGCTAGTTTTTCGGGCACAACCTCCAATGTGATTAACATTGTGTAAAGTGAGCGGAACCGTATCATAATACACTAAAGTATCACGCGCCGTGAATCCCTATCTCGTGAATAGATTTGTACGTACCGACCTAATACTTCATACCGACGTGGAAAAATAACAAAAAAAAAAAAGTATAAATCACCTAAATTTGACTTCAATATATAGTTTACAACACTCATTTTGATTGAAGGGTTGCACAGCAGTCCGATACGATAGAGATCGAATCATACCATAAGAACTACGGTCCAATAATAAACAAAAAATCTTCGAAATCAAGAGCCAGATTATCATTGCGTTCGATCCAATTTTAGCCCCATCCAAATATTAACCTGATCAATTCCGTTTCTCATCAACATTCATAAAATTCATGAAATCAATAACTACACCCAATTATATTCAACACACACAACTAGATGCTAGAGATAGTCACATCGAACCATCGTCACAACATGTGTATAAATGAGTGGATTCTTCATCAACAAAACAACACTCCACAACTTCTCACAACCATCATACAAAATAAACCAAACCCTTTCTTTTCTTCCCCACAAACCACCGCACTAAACAACAAAAAACAAACTCGAGATCATCAGAAAAGCGCTCATTAATTAATATAATTATGGGAGCTTCAACGACGGCGAAGCTTGATGACAAGAAGGCGTACGGAGCGGTGGTACTGATACAGCTGATCTACGCCGGAATGTTCCTCCTCTCCAAGGCGGCGTTCGACGGCGGCTTCAACACTGCCATCTTCGTCTTCTACCGGCAGGCCTTCGCCGCCGCCGTCGTCGTCCCACTTGCCCTCTTCCTCGAGTGGTAACGTAGTAGTGCTCCTCTAAAATTCTCGTGCATATGTGTTCATCGTTGATTCAGTTTAACTGACGTTTTTTTTTATGAATGTTCCAACCTCGGCCGGCGGCGGATAGGAAGCACGCGCCGCCGCTCTCGCTGCCCACCTTCGGCAAGATTTTCGTCCTCTCGCTCTTCGGGTAATGAACAATTATATCTCATTGACCACGAATATATAATTCTTTTCCTTTTATATTTGATTGGGTTTAGTCGTTTAACTTGTTCATTTGCTTAATTGATGATTAATTCACGGAAAAACCATTGATTTTTCTAAGGTTTGAATTATGGTACAAAATCTTAGCGCTACAACAGAAGGTATAAAACTCGTGTCTTATTATCGCTTGCTACGAATCATATCACCACTTATGATCATATCATGGTGATATGATTCGTATTAGGGGTAGTAATTCACGAGGTTTTGTACTTTTTTGCAGTTTTGGATTTTGTATCCCATCCTTTTTTTTTAATCTGTTCGATTTTTTAAGTCACATACAATACTCTCTATTGTTATATATCAATTGAATTGAATATATTAGCTCAATTGTTAAGTCAAGTAAAGCGACATTTTGGTAAATATCATCATAATATTGATCCAATGATTAGAAACGCATTAAGAAGATGTAGGTACGATGCGACATCAATATCAAATTCAACCCCACCTCAGCATAAATTTTAGCCGTACAACATTTCTAAGCTAAATTTTTAATTAGTTTTTATGAATTGATGATTGCAGGATAACGTTGAGCTTGAACATCAATGGGATAGCTTTGATCTACACTTCAGCAACTTTGGGTGCTGCTACTGTTAATTCCCTGCCAGCCATTACTTTCTTCTTGGCTCTTCTATTTGGGTAAAATCTAATTCTTTTATTAATTAATTCTTTTAGTTTTTATGGGTGGTTGGTGGATGCTTTAAACCTTATAAAAGCTAAAGCTAACGCCTTTAAACCTTAATAAAGCTAAAGTCACACACTTTGAACTAATAATTAGTAATCTAATAAACTTCTTTTGCAATCGGTTGGGATTGGGTCAGGGGACTTAATGAGTGGGGACGTGTAGGTACGAGGTTGGTGTCGTTAATTACTTAGGTCACACTTTTATATAATATATATATATACGCTATTCAAGATATGGTAATGTGTAATAAAAAATGGTAAGATATATGATGAAACAGTTAAAATCGTTGGGGTCACAATCCAACAACATCAATACGTGTTTCGTCATTTACGAGCAGCGTAGCAGGATGCATGTATATTGAGTTGATGAAATTGATTGCAATAATTTTGGGTGGTTGGTGATTTATTCATGGGAATTTTATAATTTTCAGTAATGACAATTAATGAGTCGACTCGTTGGATAGTTTGACGCACTTATTATGATCTATATAGATTTTGGGTGTGACTCAAATGGACTCGTATACACTTAATTGGTTTTGAATTTGAATTTAGTCCAATTTGATTCAAGTCATTTCGGTCCGTCTCAAATAGGTCTATTTGAATCCCCATGATTGGAGACAATAACAACAATCTCATCATTAAGTGCTTTTAATCAAATGCACATTTAATGTTTGTGTTTCCAATCTTTCTGTTTGTTTCATAACAAAACATAAGGGGAAAAAAATTGCATTAGAATCTAATATCGTGTATGCAAATCAATTTGTAAACAAGCTTTCACGAATTATGTGTAACAAATCTACAAATAGTATAAAGTGTTATATGCACCCAGGATCTGGGGCATACCAAATTTTGATCCACATGGTTGAATACAAACGTCCTTCACATGGTTTTCTTTTAATTCCATCCATTTCTAACTTTTGCTTTCTCAAGAAAGGTTAGTGTCCTCTTTCAATCAATCATATATATGCATGTGATCCTCAAACATATATAGCTTCTTGCTCACCTTGTCTTCTAGACAATTAGTTGAGAACACTTTGTGCATATAGCTTCCAACTTACAAAAGTAAAAACTATATAACCAATTAACAAGGCTTGGTCTAGCGATTTTATCGCTGGTCTTCAACTCAAAAGTTTCAAGTTCGAATCCCTTAAATATTATCTAACAACAATAATAAAACATATATCACCCTGATGAAAAACCAATCCTATGCATGTTGACTAATTACTGTGCTCTAAAACAAGTTAGCTGAGTTTTTTTGTGTACTATATGTGTATACCTCACACAGGATGGAGACACTAAAGGTGAGGACAAAACCAGGAATGGCAAAACTAGCTGGGATTGTGATATGCATGGGAGGAGTAGCAGCTCTTGCTTTCTACAAAGGCCCCCATTTTAAGGTCTTCTCTTTCTTCAAACATGACCTCCATGGCCAAAGTGGGAACCTTAGCTCTCAAGTACACTCTAGCTCTTCTCATAACAACACATGGGTCAAGGGTTGTTTCTTGATGCTCTTCTCCAACCTCAGCTGGGGCTTTTGGCTTGTCTTTCAGGTATAGTAGCTTTCAGTCTTTCTATACGGAATTACTACATATATTTTCAGTCTGATTGTGGGTGTCCGTGGTAAGAGAAATGTGACTGAAAACATCAATAGAATGAGTTACTGAATCAGTTTTGTAATATGATTTCGAGTCAAATTTGGTTGGACGATGGAAATTCACGTGTCAAATAGGCTGATTAGAGGTGGCAATTAAGATTCAAATTTATGAATCAAATCCAATCCAATCCATCAACTAAATTATCTACCTAATTCAATCCATTTAAATCCAATCCATTTGATCTAAATCCAATTGGATTGGTGGATTCATGGATCAATCCATAAATCCAAATGTCAAATTATAATTTGGTACCAATATTTTTTATATTTTACATTTTGGTACCTAAAATTTATATTTTTATAGGAAAATATCATTGGAAAATTACATCTTGGCCCCTAAAATTTTTTATCATGACATTTTAGTACCTAAACTTTTCACAATTTACATTTTGGTCCAAGCCTTGGATGTCATTTGGATTCATGGATCAATCCACCAATCCATTTGATCCATGGATCCACCAATCCAATCCACCAACCCATGAATCCAATCCATTTGCCACCTCTATGGCTGACTGATAATGGGTAGTTGGTCGTGATAGGTCAGACCACAACGGTTCACCACAGTAACTTATTGTTGGTTAGATTTCAGCTGGGTGGGAAATTGGGTTTGTTCGCGACTTAAATTATCATCAATAACCAGAATATGGGTTCTGATCGATTTATAATATATGTCTACAACTTAAACAAGATTTGAACAACGAAAGATTCTCGTACATGCATGTCAAACATGTCAGGCAATAATGGGTGGTGGGTCGGGTCAGATGATAATGGTTCACTTTGTTGGTCAGGTTTGGGTAGGGTTTGCGCACATGTGAATTGGGTGAAATGATTGCCAACTTTGGTTCATATTTCCATTGATGCACCTTTTCCTATTTTCATTTGGTTGTTGTAGGCAATACTTCTGAAAAGCTACCCATCGAAGCTTCTCTTTACAGCGCTCCAATGCTTTTTGAGCTCGATCCAGTCCTTGGTGGTGGCAGTTGCCATTGAGAGAAATCCAGAGGCATGGAAGCTTGGCTGGAACATGAAACTTGTGGCCGTGACTTACTGTGTAATAATCAGAGACTAAATTCATAATCATACAACATATATAACTATTAATCACTCTATTAAGCTGTAAATCAATCTAATTAGTTCATATGTTTTATAAATTTATTCTTTTTCTACAGGGAGTTGTGGTGACTGGAGTAACGTACTACTTACAAGCATGGGTTCTGGAGAAGAAAGGTCCGGTCTTTCTAGCCATGTCGACTCCTCTCGCTCTGATCTTCACAATGTTGTGTTCTGCACTACTAGGCGACTTCATCAACCTTGGAAGGTAACAAGCCAGTAAATTGTGTTGACCTTTAATTTGTCTATTTCTTTTTTTCTTTCTTAACCGTGTTCTTGTTTGGTGATGTGTTTCCATAGTGTATTGGGTGGAATGCTTTTGGTTGGAGGACTTTACAGTGTTCTATGGGCAAAAGGCAAAGAAGAGCAAATGAAGATGGATGAGAGTATTGACGAGAAGATGCAGATTCCAGAAGTGCAAATGGAGAGCTTAGAGCTTAAACAAGTGGTTACAATCATTAGCATCCCCGAGAATCAAGCGCCAAAAACCAATGTTGCTACCACTTAATGCTTGCTTGTCTTAGTTGACTACTCAATCAGTAGATAACATGAACTTTCTGTTTAAGTTGTCTTTTTGTAAGGAGTGGGAAACCATCTCAGTTATAAGATTTTGTGCTAACAGTTGCAGCAGCGGTCAACGATCAAATGGGTTCAAGGCGAAGTAGTGGAGTGGCTAAATATGAACGGTAACAATGTCTGTTATTGACATAGTTGTTGTATGCTCGAAATCTTAACGAAGCAAGAGAATTCTTAATCAACTTATCAATTATACTTTCTTACTCCTCTCGTTCCCACATCGGCTTATTCTTCAATTTTGTTATTGTGCTCACAAGCGCTTTGTAAGAAAGTGCTCACAGGCGTTCAAAGCCGCCGGATCGAACGTGAACGATCCGTGACCGTTGGATTGAAGAGCTTCAAATTTATTTACAATTGTCAATGCTTCAATCTAACGATTGCCAATCGTCGAAGTGTGTCGAGGATAATAATAAGGATAACAAGAGGATGAAACACTGTTTGTATAATTTAAATACTTATTGAATAGATGTCACCATTATAGAAATGGAAGGATAACAAGAGGAGGAAACTCTCGGTCTCTAACTTCGTCAGAGTATCGAGAATTGTTGATATTTATCGGCTCGCCATGCTGAGTTACAAAATGGATGGGGAATATTTTATTAATTTTCTTATATTTTAGTTGATGATGTGACACTTATAAATGTATTTAAGTGATTTGAGAAAAAAGAGACCAAACAAAATAGCAAGTCATCCATCAACACGCTAACTTTTTTTTTTTTTTTTTATACCCAGGAACCTCAGCCCCACGTGCCACTTTGTGACAGTGGGTCCTACTAAACCTGGGGCCACCTGCATTTAATTTTACGCCAACGGGGCTTCGCCCTAGCAGCCTTGTACCTCCGGGAACACCAACGGGTCTCGCTTGGATTCGAACCTGGGATCTGCAACTCCCAAGTTTTCACTGTTGCGGCAGCTTTACCGTTAGGCTATCTTACCTTTGGTTCAACATGCTAACTGCCAACGAGCAATGTTGAGTTGTTGACGGAGCAAAAACTTCAACATAAACTAGTCATTTAAAAAAATCAAAGAATATAAATAACAACTTCGAGAAAGATTGATAATTTTAGTGATATATTCCTTTATTAATTTATTAGTCCACTATTTAATCAACGATTCTCTCCTTTTGTATCTTTTTTCTTTGAAAAAAGAAAACACATTCAGTGTCATTTATCTTTGTTAAATATATAAAATTGTACCATATTATACAAACCTTCTTATAACGTATATTCTTCTTATTCATTCATATATTTCTCTCAACCTTCTTATAACGTATGTGTGTTTATTCTACGACATTTGATGATTACTTGACATCATATTATACAATATGATTCTTGAGAAAATCAAATTGTCTCCGTCATAAAGCTTGGGCCAATAATGATTCAAAACCAGCTCACCTCATTTATCTTACTCAAAATCATTCAACAATAATGATTTTTTTTATTCTTTTTTTTTTATCTTTCGCTATTTTTTTATGCTTTCAATTAATATTATGCTTATTAGATTGCTAGACAAATCATAAATCTTGAGGTTCAATTCATCAACTTTCTCAATTGGGCATTTGACTTTAGATTGGTGACTGGTGGGTGTTTAAAACGAGCATAGCTAAGTTAGTATTCTTTGGTCAATTGGTTGTAGAAGAGGGAAATTGATACTAATGAGCTACATTCCTTTGCACTTATAGATTTATCAGAATAATCATGAATACGATAATAGTTACGGAAGAAGTTTAGATTCAGACAAAGGGAGGCTTCCTAGAATAGAAAAGATACGATCTAGAAGAGTCAACATCAGTAGATTTCGACTGGGTGTCCTTAACTTTAGAAGGTTTGAACAATATTTGATGCAATTGGATTGAAGATAAGAATTGCTCGCTCTTTCACCCTCAAGAAATTGAGAGTTGAACTGTCTGGGCCTTAATCAAGCTTTCTACTGCGGAGCATAGAAAATGCTAGAGTGGTTGCTTCTAAATCGCTATTTGTATATTAAATCATTTTCTGTAAAATTAAGCAAAAGGGCACGAACATAGAAGTATGGCCAAGAGAATAGATGGAGGGGCATATTTGAACATGCATAATTCACATAACATAGAAGTATATACTCAATATGAACATGCACAATACTATATCGGACGACAACGGGCCAAGTTATAAGCTAATATATAAAATTGAGGAACAATATTGGGCCTGCCCTTTTTCTTCCCCATAAATGGGCCCCAGGGTTGAATAGTTTTACCTCATTACACTTGAACCTTAAATTCAGTAGCCGGCCCACGCAATTACAGTCGTGTTCGACTTCGATACGTACATGTTCGATATGTACATGTGCTCATTTGGGCTAATGAATTAGTCAAAACCAAAATCGGTTCATTTGGTAGTTCATCATGCTCTGTATTTGTCGTGTCAAATATTAAAGTAGTTTGACTTTATTTCATGGTTAGTATATAATTTGTCCTACTGGAAAATTGGGAAACTAGATATGTATATTTTCTCTTATTTAGAGTGATAAATGAAAATAAAAAGTTGAACATGAGTTCATTAGTACCCATGAATTGCTATCAATTAGAGTCATCTTCCATATTTAAATTAAAATAATAGTATAATTTCTAATCAAATTATTTTAGTAATACAAGTTACAACGAAATAGTTACAACATGTGTTTCTTTTTTGAAAAAAATAGTAAAGTACACAAGGCGTCTACATTATCCAACAAATCTCATTCGATACATTTCACTATACAATGAATGCTTATTCAAATATTGAAGCTTGTATTTTTTATGCAAGGCAAAGTTGAAAACACTCTATCGATATTTGTAGTTACAACCGATGAAGTCAATATTGGCCTTCATACGAAAATGGACCAACAATGACCTCTTGTTTTCAACGTCATAATTGATCTTAGAAGAAACTCGCCGTTCATAATGGTTGTAGCTATCAACGTATTATAGAAGAAACGAGTCAGAAATGGAATGAAAGTTTTGGTATACTAGGGCTTAAATGGACCTTGCTTAAAAGTGGTTGTCAATTTTAACAGGAAATGACTTGAGATATTAAAGATAACATTTTGGGCTAATACCACTACAATACCCGAACTATTCTGAAAATGCCACTTGTGTTCTATTGTTTCCAATATTTCATCTGTGTCCTGAACTATTATACTTTGCGCCATTTGTGTCCTGTCGATTTTGTTGACCGTTAAAGATAACGGTGGTCAAAGTGAAGTTGACTTTTGTTGACATGGCAAAAATGTGGCTGCCACATAGATGCCACATCATTGACACCTCATATTTTTTAATTAAAATTAAAAAAATGTAAATTCAATAATATTATTAAAACAAAATAAAAAAAAACTCTTCATATTCTTCTTCTTGGTGCAAGATATTTGTTGCGGCGAAACTGAACGAGGTCGCGGAGTTCTTCGATGATGGTTTGCCTTCCTCTACTCCCTCTTTTTCCTCCGTGTTTGCAAAATTGAAGGACTCATTTGAAAGCATTCTCGCTGATTGAGCATAGACTTTCCATTTGCACCAGCTTAAGCGAATAGTTAAACAAAAAGAGAAATGACGAGGGCAGATGGTTTCAGTAAGGAGGCGGAGGGTATCCCTCTGTACAGAGCCCACAGTGGTTGGGATTTGGATGAAATCCACTGTGTTTCTGGGTTCGGGAAGCAGAACGGAGGGTTAGGAGATGGTGGCGGCCAGGATCGACGGTGGCTGGGATTTCAAATCGATGATGCAAATCTGAAAAACCTTACCGCGGCGAAGGAGGCGGCGAAAGTGAGAAGGAGAGGGCGTTGTGGCCAAAGATTGAATCGGGCGAGGAGGGATGTGACTTGCTCCTACCATCACTCTAGAAAATGGCCAAGTGTAACCACTTCCTAAAGCGTAGTATAGCGGGTTTGGGTTTTAATGTCAACCCGGGTCCTAAGTGTGATGACTACTCCGTGAGTTCTTATTATTTATCAGTGAAAGTGTAGTGCAGGTCCAAAACAAGCAAACAAGCAAAGCAGTTAAAAGGTTGTTTTCAAGTCGAGAGAGGTCACCCGGATATGTTTCCCCCTAGATTGCAGTTAAGCCGGATTGTAATTTACCAAGTTCAATTTCAATGATAGTTATACTGCGGGAGGTTCTTAAACAGTCCGCAGTCTCGACTAAAGGTCTCCAGACCCTCTCAATCTGAGTCCCCAGCGGGCGACTAACCTCCACCGGAATAAACAGATTGAGACCCTAACGAACCAAAACTCCACTACCGAAGTAAATCCGGTACAGAATAGTGATGAATTCACTACCTTCAATCAAGGGTGCTCTATCAACCTAGGCAGATATTCTCTTTCTAGGTTAAAGCAGAAACAACAGGAATTTGATCAGGATTCATGCCATTCAACAAATCAAACCTCAATGAATATAATCATATCACTGAATCTGTACCTGGGTTCATACAATCAGACCTAACATACAAATCTAGGGTTCTTCATACCTAGGTGAAAGAGAAAGTTACTCCATAGAGAGAGATGGGAAATCTAGCTCAGATGCGGAAACCATACTGTGAAGGATGAGATTCTGCTTCTGGCAACCAATCAGCACTTCTCCAAACTCAAGCAACTCCAATGGTGATGGAGATCGATCTAGGCACTTGAAGAATCAAGTTCGTCACTTTCTCTCTCTAGGTATACGCTTTTTCTCTCTAAAACTCGGGACCCTTCAACTTTGTCCTTCTTTTCCCTTAAGAAGCTGTAAATCGTGATCCCCGGTCAGAATACCCGGTCGGGTATTTTAGGCGGAGACCGGGGATTTATAAACGCACCGTCGCGGACAGGGGATTTTTCCTTAATGCCCGGGCCCCCCTCTGCTTCTCAAACGACCAAAAGATGTTTTCCCCGGTCATCACATATTAATACCCTGCCGGGTATTTTTGCTCATGGCCGGGTATTTTCCTCCTCTAGCACACTTCACCTCAAACGTGCTCCTTTCGACCCGAAACTCGTTTCCTCGCCTTGATGCCAACGCCAAGCCCTGAAATATGACATAAACACACAACCTAGCGTGAAATAGGCTTAAAACACGAGAATCAACATCTCAAACGGATCAAGAATAGGGGTAAAAACATGTGCAATTAACGGTCTATCAAATTCCCCCACACTTAACCGTTTGCTTGTCCCCAAGCAAACCTAACTCAAACCAATGTAGCTTTCCAGACCTCTATAGCAACAAACAAC